AATAATGCATGTGAATCTGATTTAGTTAAATACATTGAAAAGGTAAAATGAGAGACATGTAGAGTCTTACAGAAAGAGTGACGAACAATCGTGACAGTGGTAGATGCATAGACTGAAAGGCATTGTGGGATGCTAATGGAAGTGTTTTGAAGTCAGAGTCTACAAAGTAACGATCTACACACAGTGGGTCATTCACTTAACATGCACACACACGCCCACACCCACATATGCACATTTATTTCATGCTGTTGGGGGGAAATGAGCCCTTATCTGGAGCCGTGGAGATAAGCAGAGGCAATGGGCCACTCTAGCAGCCTCTGACTCACACACACACACACGGAAAGCTGCCTCCACACTCTCCTGTTAAATGAAAGTCACAATATTATAAATATAGAGTGGAGGTATTGATATTCAGATAATGTAGCACAGTCAGTTTTGCTGTAATACAGGTACTTTTATTTTGTTCTGACTTACTCTCCTCTGTCTCTTTCTCATTCTCATTTATTCTCTATACTTGGAAATGATTAAAATAAACTATCTACAATTTGTTAATTAGTCTGAAAAGTTTACACTATATTGATAGCAGCAGTTCCCAAATGGTCGGCGAGGCAAGTCCAGATGTGTCGTGGGATTTTGTGAGAAATGTACAATATTATTATTGCAATACTACTATAATACTACAGGGTTCCAGAGAGTGACCATTTAGGTCTGTGAAGTGTGAAATCTTCCTTGTGCGCCAAACATTTAGCTGGTGTTTCTCTGTATTTGACGGAGTGCGAGGCAGGGCAGCCCATGTAGGACAGTAGAAACAGTAAGTGTGTAAACTGTTTCTACTATGGACCAAAGCTGTAAAACTCACCTGTGCTCACTTTACACTTTAATGCTAATGACCAACACTCATGAAGGGCCTACCTTAATATTCTTGAGACTGCAAGTTAGAGGTTTCCTTGGTCTGTTAACAGCTTTCATTCTGTGATATGGAATCAAACCCAGCCCTCGTAAACAAAATTACCAATCCATAGGGGAGCTGTTAAGAAAAGGTATAATAGGTATATTACTGCTGTGCCAAAAGGCACAATGAAAAATTTGGGGTGTAACTAAATGATACATTTAGGCACACCAGTGCAACCAATTTAAAAAAACTTTGCAACCCAAATTTTCACTGTTAGCTGGGAATTATTAGTGTGTGACACATCAAAGATCTTGATTGCCAGCCAGTGTTAAGGAGTGTAACACAAGAAAGAGAAATGCGGTTGAAGTGGTTGTAAAGTGGTGATCAACAAATTAAATCAATATAGAGTACAGTACAGTAGTCTATCATGGACAGACGTGTAAGAGTAATATTTTCTATGTGAAATTAATGCAGTGACTAATTAAAGCAGAATCCAAAACATACATTCAGTGACGGGGTCATATATCAAAATGCTGAATAATAATAGCTGATAGTACGGCTGGTGTCTACACTGCATGCCCTCTGCAACTCATCATCCCTATCAGTAATAGCATTTTATTCACCACATTCATTGCAGAGATATGCCGATGCATACCTACTTCAACAGTGCACACTGGTCTTCACAATATGATACAATGAAAAGCATTGGAGGGGTGAGGCATAACATGTCCATTCTGTTTACCCAGATGCTGAATTTTTATATTGCAATATTCCTTTCATACAGACCTCCTCATGACATCACTGCAGTGTTTCCAGTTGATTACTTATACTGTGGCAGTGCACCATGGGGAAATTTGTCCCATCACATAATGATGAGAAATTTTTACACAAACACATAGGCTGTCTGTCACCGTCAGACTCACCATTTGCAGGATTGGATGAAACCTGCCCGCATCTTTGGCCCGTTAAAACATCCGTAGCGTCTTTACCGTCCTCTACCCTCAGCTGGCAGAATTCGACATGAACTCAGCAGTATCACTTTCTGTGCGGGTTCAAACGTCAAGTGCACAGTTATCGTTATAGGCGAGCAGACCTGAAATGAACACCAACCCTTCTCTGTGAGAGCCTATGCAGTGACTGGAAGTGACTCATTTGGCCACTGAACCACATCATTCAAATTACACTCTATATAATATTTAATTCACGGTGCGAGAGGAAGAGTAGCATTAGATGTATCTTTAAGGCATAATGTGCATGTGGTCTGTAGTGTAAGTGTGGATGGAGTGAAGTCACATGACCAGTCTGGTCCTGATTGATCGGCCCTCCGGGGTAGTGTATTGCTCTGTGATGTTGATTGGTGTGTCTCTTCTCATCTTATTGGCTGATGGTTAAACACTGTGTGAGATGCAACACGTCCACCTTCGTTTAAGGGCACAGCAAAATGTTAATTACTAAATCTTTACATTATTCATTGTCTTGTTTCACAGTCTATAGCACCTCAAAGAAACACTGTGGGTGTGAGTTTCCTTGTAAGGTCATGTCTCTATGTCATTGTGAAAATCAACACCATGCCAGTGTTGACATTCACACCTCTAATGCTACATAAGGAAAACTGTCAGCTCTATAAATACACAAGTGATGCTCATAAAACATAACATAACAAAAGTGTATTTAAGTTGCATCATCTGCTGCATGTTTTACTCAGTCTACAACAACATAGCCATTTCAATTTTAATGTTGTTTTGAGTTACTGTACATGCGCCGTTTTCTGGATTTCCTGGAGGCGTGCTCAGGTGTGAAAGGGAAGTGGATGTCCCTCTGTGCCATTGGTCTCTTATGGTGGCATGTGGCTTCACAGCTGATGTTTTACAGATTATACACGGTCATGTTTCTACAAGCACTTAGAGTACTACTGCGCTGTGAATTTATCTTTTACAAGTCTCTCATCATCTCTGCTCACCATGTACCAGTATCTTGTTGTCTGCCATATGCTCCCCATCTCCTGCATCTCTTCCCCGCTCTCCGAGTGCCTCTCTCTCTTGCCCTCTCATGTGTGTCATCTCCGTCTCCTGTTTTTGATCCATTTGCATCTTATTGACTTCACATGCAGCCCCTCACCCATTCGTGTTAACACACACTGCACATATTCACTGAGATAGCAGGGAATGGTTACAGGCAACATATGTGCGCATACTTACAAACACATTCACACACTATGATCAAGGGCTGTGTTGACATTGGGATTGTTGCCCGAAGAATTACACAGCACTAGTTTTTTTGTGCCATAAAAAGTAAGTTGGCTCATCCACAGCGAAACAGAAAATTACAAATGCCTCTGTTTTCTGCATACAAAATGGAGAAAGAACAAAAATAAGGGGATACAGATTTTTGATGTGTGTGGGACAGACGCGTCAGACTTGTACTCTAGCTCCACATCTCCCCCTCCAGGCTGCAAACAAGGATAACATGAAGTGCAGTCTGCTGCACCTGGCTGTGTGAGTTATATAAATGCAGCCGCACAGGCATCTTATCAGTAAATTCCACTATTTGAAGCTACAGTAATTTTGTAATGATAATTAGAATAATTCTGTATTGCAGCGATGAGAAAGTGAAACTCCTTGTACATCCTCGCCCGTGTTCTTTACTGGATCTGGCTCATGAGACCTTAGTGCAGGTTGAAGGTGGAAGCATGTTGAGAATAATGTGCAAGTCAGTGATCTTTTTGTAATTATAGGCCTTGTGAAGTTCTAATGTTTGACATCCCAAGTGATGTAAAAAATGTAAAAGAACAGTCAGAGAGATGACAATTAAACTGCCTCTATATTCCTGCAAGGACTTGAGAAGTGGTGTAATCTGGCAAAGTAGATAAGTGGCTGAGAATGGCCTATAAAGGAAAATAATACCCCGGTGTCACATACCTGTATAAAGGCCCTGCATTTACTTATAGAGAGGTCACATAACCGAAGTTGCATTTCTATGGATATGTGAAAAGGGGTAAAAGCAAGTATAGTTTTACTCTCTAAAAGTTTCCCATTGCAACACAATGACCACACTATGGTATATAACTACAAGTCTAATGCAAGACTTTCTCTTCACAACACCAAGGAAAGTAATTTTAGTGAGATAGCCTGTCTTGTATTAGATTATATATATATAAAAAAGAAACTACAGCCTTACTGTAAGTATTGATCTCCATTGGGAATTGATCCCAATTGACAGAACTGCACATTTGACGGTCACTTTAATCCTCAGAAGTATGGATCACCGCATGTTTTACCTCTGCTGCTTGCTCTGCTTCTCCGGTGTGTTTTTGTTTTCCTATTTGCGCAAGTCAAGCTGTGCAAATTTTGGTTAGCAGACAGCTAAATCACTTCTTTTTTTTGCCCCTTACTTTTCCTCTCTCGTCAGGGAATCCAGGGTAGTTTGATCTTTGAAGCTAAGAACAATATGTTATTGAAAGCAGAAGGCAGCACGCAGATGAAGAAAATACGGCTATAGGGACTCAAATAATGTGGTCCCAGGGAAAAGTTTATGTTGCAATTTGATAGACATAGAAGGCTGGGTCAGAATCCTAAAACACCTTTAAATAAAACCACCATCATTTTCTTCATCTTTAACAGTACACAGTGCACCAGGAATGAGCCTTGGTGTATTCAGAAAAATAAAATGTCCAAAACTGTAAATACAGAAGGGGGAAATAAAAGAAAGTTGTTGATTATTCTTTGCAGTTCTCCGGTTATTGTTCTTGAATCCTCTGAGTGTCTTGTTTCATCTCTTTTCTTCTCTTTTTCTTTAAAGCAAACATGCATCACATTTCTTTTCTGACTTCGTTCCAGAAGCGATGATGTGTTTTTTATGTTTTGACTGCACCGACCTGTCCACTTTGAAATGTCTCCTCGAAACTCGGCTCTTTGGAATTGCTTTAATGTCTAATAATGTCAAGTTGCACTTTCTCTTAAAATTAATGTAAAGTATCTTTGAGTTACTTAAAAAGTTCTACACAAATAAAAAGTTGTTATCATTATTATTTCTTTCTGATCCCACACACATACTTGAACCTGGTGTCCAACATGTGAAACTAACGTTCATGTCTCTGTGTATCCTGCAGCTGGCAATGTGGGACCCAGTCCACGGCTTGAACGGCACACTGACGGACAGGAAATTGGAAAATAACATGAGAGGAGTGGTGCTACGCGTTGTCACCATTTTGGTGAGTATAGACGACATGCGTGTATGTCATATGTGCTTGTTTTATTCAGTTATTTGATATGATTTCCCTCTATTGGGAAATCTCCTCCATTGTGAATTCAGCCTCTTGTCTAGTTTACTGCTCGTCATTCAACTCCGTCTTCCTGGAGCAGTTTGCGAGCCTGTGTGGGGCAAACAAACATTTATGAGACAAAGTATTGAGGGGAGACAGAGAGGGTGAAACACAATGAAAATGTAACAAGGTGAGCTTACTAATGGACTGAGCCATCATCATTTCATTAGCTTCCATTTTGACATTTGACAGCTAGATGATAGAGGCCATTGGAGTCTTGATGATAGTGAGACTCCAGCTCTGTCTGTCTCGCCTGCAGCATCGATTTGAGTACATCCCATGAGTGCTTTAAAGATTCACTGCTGTAAATTCTTCATATCCCTTCTTTGAAGTGAGAAGTAGAGAAGAAAGAGCTAATGCCAGACATGTTTGAGGCTATCCCTTTGTCTCTCTCAAAATTTTTCTCCAGTCTTTGATTTTGATCATCCTTAAAGGAAAGTCCTTGTTTCTGAACAGCAGCCTTTTCCCATCATGGGTGAGGATTGGCCCCTATAGGTGCACTTTAAATGCATATTTATGTTCCATGTTGTGTTGCTTTACCTCTGTGTGTGTGTTTGTGTGCATGCATTCGTGTGCACATGCGTGTGTGTGTTACCCTAGATGACTGATGCCTCATGAGGGCTTAAAGACAGAAATAGATAGAAATTGTGTGAAAAGTCCAGGGTGCTGACTGAATGTACTGTTTTCTTTTTATCGGAGAATGTTTAGAGGGCACATCCTCCGTGTGTGTGTGTGTCTTTGTGTGTCTGTGTGTGTGTGTACATGATCTGAAGGGATCTAAAGGGACCTTTTGAACAGATTGTTCTGCGTGGCCCTGGGTGTTCTCTCCTCTAATATAACCGTTTTCTGTCTGTAATGTGCATTGGTCTCATATACTGCCATGCAGAGTGACTCATGCCCTGAAACACATTGAATGGTGTAACAACACACACAACAACACACATGCACAAACATTAAACTGCATGTTCCCTCCATTCTCACTGCCAGACTGTTGAATAGTTATTGATTCGTCAATTGATGATGAGATCATACCACAATTAGGGCCAATGACTCTAAATCAGTGTCATTGATTAGCAAGGACTGTATTGATTATTAAATGGATGTTACCAGCGAATGGCTACATCATTCTAATTATGTGTTTATGGTCCAAGCAGTTTAACTCTTCAGGTCACAAACATCTCTCATATTGATATTTTACACTGGGAATTAAATTTGTATGTTTAAACTGTACATGGTTACATGACAATGTGTAATGGGAACTCGATTTTTTAGATGTAAGAAGCTGGAAAAATCAGACAGCCTATAAATCCCCACTCACTAACTTGCATATGTTCCTGATTTAGTATGTTTTATCTCAGCAGCTGAGTTTTCATCTTTTCTTAATATTCTGTGCTCCTTAATTTTTTCGAGCTTGCACCCCCATTTCCCTGGTTCTACTCCATTTATGAGCAGCAAGCTGTGAATACAGCCACCGCAGCCTAAATATGCAGCCACAGGCAGAAGATGTCCCTTTTTATCTTGAGTTCATATTTTTGGAGCTAATGAAAGAGCAATCATAGTGTTTTCCCCAAATGAACCTAAAGTTTTATTTTTGGATGATGATGAGGTGCACAGTAACCACAAGCAAAAAAAGATGTGATGGTTGATAATGATTTATGATAATGATCAATTATGTAATGTTCCATTCAATTTGCCCATTTAATATTTTGTAATCAACTTGTCCCAAAAAGTAGTACAATTGTTTTTCTATCCTATAACTGTGAAGGTAAACCAAAGCTATTTACATCATATTGCTCATTTTCATCTACTCTAGTACAAAGAACAGCACAATGCTTGAAACTGACCATTTTTCGTCCATCTGTGAAACCTGAGAGAAAAACTCTAGTCTTTTCAGGACTATATCTGTTAACTGAAACATCCAGTACATCCTCAAGTTAGCCTGAACACTCTAACCCTATTGATTTTCTATTCTAAATTTCCAAGTATAATAACAATAAGGCAGTGAAAAGGCAAAATGCTAAATGAGCCACCACTAACAAAGACTTGGAGAACAGTGCGAATTAAAACAAAACGGCGCAACACTTTTTTAAAACAAAAAACATATCTACCAGCAATCCCTCCAAATTAAATGCTCATGTGAGTCACTTGTTTGTACCCTTGGATATGACCCACACAAATGTACAAGCTCTGGTTCTCTGGACGCGTTACCCGCTGTTAAATGAAGAAACATAAGGATAAGGATTTGGAAAGGTTGTGCTTCGTTGAACTTCCTTTCAAACCATCATCATTATGGGTGCTGTGGTCAACATTAAAATTTAACTATGGGTCATGTTTTATTAACCTGCTTAACAGGGCAGTCTCATAACAAATACTAAGGCAAGCAACTTTAACTGTTTGTATCTTGGGAGTCCATATACAGACCCAAACCCCTGCTGACAACATACTGTAAAGGGCATGATTCATACTTAGGGCACTGGCAGTGAGTCTGGGCATGGATGTGAACTGTGAACTGTAGCTTTTCTTCAGTATGAATGTAATTCCTTGAGTTACTTAGCAGTCTGCTGACTTGGTCCATCTTAAATCCCTGTTGTCCTTGATGCCAGAATTGCACTGCAGTGCTCAATGACTACTAATAGACTCAACCATGGCTAGACTCCAACTTTAAGAAAGTGTAGGTCAAGGTGAGCCAACAAAATACTAGATGGGTGTGGGAAAACAAAGAGGGTTCACCTGACACAAGTGTAATTGTTTGATGCCTTTGTTAAATTTTAAAACAAAGATCACAGAGTATGAGAAAAAATCAAAAGTAACAAAAGTCCCTGGCTGGGGACATTGCTGTTCATGGCTCATAGTGTCTTGACCGCTAATCTACAGGGACTCTGTAATAAAAAGCCATGTACCTGTGTAAATGGGACACAGCAGAGACTTACCATAGTGTGTTCCAGTTTATAAAAATAATTGACCTGTTGAATTGTCGGAAGGAGGGATGGAGACTAAAATCTGTGGTGCAGCATCACAGCAATCACACAGATTTTGCTTTTGAGTCCCCAATCAGCGCTGCCTGTCTATTGTTTTGTGATACATGTTCTTTATCTTTATTAAAACATAGATCAAGGGAGAATGTATTTTCATAATGATATGAAATCTAATCTCCTGCAGAGACTGCTAGAGCTTTTCAAAATGCATATTTCACCAATTTCTCAGGCAAATCCATGGAGTATTTTTTTGAAAATGCTGCACCATGCTGCAAATCACCACATGACTATGTCATTTGCAGCATTTCCCCCCAGGGCTCTTCAGATGTTATTAGTCTTTGTAGGAAATTGTTGTTTTCTCCTCAAGTCATGTCTCCAAAAACGCCAGGGCAGGGCGGAGACCTCATGAGGTACTTCCAGTAAGAGGAAACGGGGGGATAAAGTTGTACCAAAGGAAAGGGGAAAGGAGGAGTGATGAGAGTTTGGAGTATCAGAAAGAGAGAGAGGAAATTGAGAGAATGATTGCCCAAATTGTTGGCATGAATGACAAGTGGGATGTAAAGATGAAAGAGCGAGGCGTCCTGGACTTGTGTGTTGGTAAAATGGTGTATTATCATAGCTGTTGACTGGCAGGAGGAAAGAAGGGAAAACAAAATAATAACAGAGGAAGAAAAGAGTCTGATCACAAAGCATTACAAAGCCAGACTTCATAAGGTTATTTTTCGTTACAAGGTTTTAGTCTGGAAACCATCGACTGAGTATTGATTAAGCCCCGCAGCTTAAAGTCAGGCCAACCAGTGAGCTATGGGAAGTGTTTAGATAACATGACTCAAAAAAAATCTAAACCTGAAGAACACCTCCAACCATTTTTATAAAATAGGAATTCTGTCTTTATTTATGCCTCTTTTTTTTACTTCAGATTAATTCAAAACAATAGTATGGTTTTCATCAATGTGTTGCAGTGCCTAAGCCAATTAAACTGAAGATAGTTATCCAAATGTTTCCTACTTTCTAAAAACCTATTCCAAACCCAATTTCTGTGTTATAAAGACTATGTTTCCTATTCTTCTCTTATGGCTCGGTTGAACTCCTGGCCAGATTAACTTTAATTTATTTTATTATTCTCTTCCAGTCTCCTGCTGTCCTAACTTCAGGCAGACACTGTGCAAAGAGAAGTGTCTGAGCATACTCTGACAGCTTCAAGCAGAAAACCTGTATAATAATTTTGCACCCTCCTTTATGTTGTGCACCAGCACCAATTAAATTCCAAAGATTAAATTTATCTTTGCAAAGCATGATTTACCCGGGAATTGAGAATTAGATGTGAACATTTGCCTTAGATGTATATTTATGAGTATTAGAGCCTGGGCAACTTGTCATCAGTGTCCTTGTTCCCCTGTACAACATGTTCTCTCCTTCATATTTCTGTTTGGTTAATAAAGGTTTAAAGTACCCGCAGAGGGAAGCAATCAGTGGCACTTGGGAGGTCATTCAGTATGTATGGATGTGTTTGTTAGTGGGTACTCCTGCCTTGATTGATGGATGCTTGTGGTGAGAGAGGGGACTTGGCATGCATCTCCACTCACTGTCTAATAGCTTATTGAACGACAGCAGCTAGCAAGGATTAGAAACCACCAAGAAAATGCGAAGCATACCGTGCATGTGTGTACGTGTTTGTATGTGTGTACTTAATGCGCAGCCAGTATCCAGTCAATAACACCCGTCCCTCATAAATCTGCAAGACATATTGGCCTAAAACATTTTGCTGATCAATAGGGATTTATTAAAGAAGAGATGAAAAAAGAGGGGTGAGGGAGAAAGGGGGAGAAATGGGAGTAGGGTGGTGGGGAGAACTGAATACTACTGAATGAAACGCTCGAGCCAAGTACAGTAAATAAAAGTAAACATCAATTTTGTTTTTCTTCATTATTGATTTTCAGCATTTTAATTATTTTAATAATGTTGTATATATGTTTAATGCTAATTCTTAAACATGGTTTCCTCTGTGAATAAGAAAAAAGCTGAGTAGGGAACTCTGAGATCGGAGAAACTAAACTGTTGTTACATCTCTTTTTGCTCCTGGAATTCCAAATAGACAGCCAAAAAAAAGCATTTAATTTAATGAATTTTACACAAACATTAGTTGCATTTGTTTTGATACCAAAACACAAAGCAGAATTAATTCTGGTTAGAGAAACAGCACTGTTTTGAACCAAATTACCATACTGGTAAATAAAAATAAACCACTGATGGTCTTTACTTTGCTGCAGCCTCCAGTTCTTATTGTGCAAATTCATGGCTCGACTGTCTCTGTATAACTTCTGACCTCTACAGACACTGTAGAGCATTTTTAATTATCAATCAACCAGTGAATGAGGAGAACCGCCTCCAGAGAAGAGAATGTGAGCCACTGGGGTGGGATTTCACCCTGACTCATGTCTCATGTCAAAGGAGTGAGGAATCGCATTACTACAAGGAGACTCATGCTTAGAGTTGTGGGCTCTTTAAACGCTTTCAAAGGCACCAGTGTGTCTCAAACAGGACGGTCTAGGAACATGAAAATGTTTGTGTTATTGTTGGAAATGATTTTACTGTCCAGGCAGTAAAATCTTAGCTTTGGTTTTCACATCTACTTGTAGTGTTTATCTTAAGTCACTTCAAAATGACCTTTTGTAATGTGCAATGTAGGCATCAAGAACACTCTCTCAACCTTTAGCATGAGCATGTGTGGTGGTATAATGGCCACTGGAGTAATTGGGTGATTTAATGCTTGAATGCCTTGTGTATTGATTGGCTGCTTGACAGGCTCACTGACACACTGATTGATCTTTACCTTCTAGGAGGAGCCGTTTGTAATGGTGTCTGAGAATGTTCTGGGGAAACCCAAGAAGTACCAGGGCTTCTCCATCGACGTCCTGGACGCACTGTCCAACTACCTGGGCTTCAAGTACGAGATCTATGTCGCCCCAGACCACAAATATGGCAGCATGCAGCCTGACGGTCAGTGGAACGGACTGATGGGTGAATTAGTCTTCAAGGTAAGAAGAAATTAATTTGCCAGTACACACACATTCGCTTACTCTACAAGAGCAATAACATTGAATAATGGGGAACAATTACAGGGAATGGATTAATGAGAATTTAACTTGCTGATAAACATTCAAATGAGTGTTTGCTGCCTTTTCCTGCACTTGTAGGCTGCTGTACAAAGATATTGGTGCATGCATGCAAGAAGGTACATGCCAAGCATCACTTATGCTAAGTGGGATCATGTTTCATAGGTTGGGTTGGCACAGTTCAATCATAACATCAACAAGAAATGATGTCACATGAGCAGCAGTAATTTCAGTTATGCTGCCACATTGCTGAGTTTGACTTTGTGAAATTGGAGAGAGCACTCTAAAGGTGCAGTGTGTAGAATTGTGTGATATCTAGTGTTGAAATTGCATGTTGCAGCTGAACACCCCTCACCTCACCCTCTCCTTCCAAACATGAAAAAGAACCTTTGGTAGCTTCAGTTGTCATAAAAACTCAAAAGGTGTTTAGTTTGTCCAGTCTGGACTAATGTAAAAAACATGGCGGCCTCCGTAGAGAGGACCCCCTCGATGTAAATATAAAGTATTTGAATATAAAGGGCCTTTTCTGGGGTAAAGAAAACTACAATTCATACAATTTAGATGAAATGAACTAGTGAAAACATCATGAGGATTATTCTGCATTCAATTTTTGCCAACAGTTCCCTTTCACCTAAATCTTACACACTGGACCTTTAAGTGCTTCACTAGTTATGATGGCATGTTTCCTAAAGTGAACTAAAAAGGGTCTGAAGTCAAAGATTCAGAGCTGTGATGCGGCATATTAGGGGAAGATGTCATTAAGAATATGAGTCAGCAGACTGGCAGGCACTTGAACTGTGGCAGTGAAAAATGAAAAAAATTGCATTTGAGATTTCTCAAGAGAGAGTGAAGCAATAAATGTGGATTTCACAAAGATGAAGAGGCCTCAGGTTTGTGGGCAAAACATTGGCACAGTTGGATGATAACTGCTTCAACTATAACAACACAACCACATGCAGGTTAGCTGAGGTGGCTTCATCTTTTTCGTCCATTCGCACAAAATATATTAATTTCACTGCTGTGTAACAAACTTGCAGCACAAACTTTGGCGCTGCCAGGTTTGTTCCCCGTGTCCATCTGTCAGCTTCCACATGCCAAAGCAGTTTTCCAATGACAGCTTTGCCATTGGCAGACATTACAGAATATTTGAGATTATTTTGACAAATTACTAAATATATTTAATATTAAAAATCAATTTATTCATATTTTACACCACAGCAGCAAGGGAAGAAAGAGAAGAAAGAAAGTCTCTTGGTTTGGTCACAGTAATAATTCAGATTTCTTTTGGGATTCTGACTCCATAAAAAGTTGAAGAACTCTCAGCACATGCAAGAATTTTGGTCTCATCTGTCATCCTGTAGAAAAGAATCAGAATCAAGTTTATTTCAAAGTAGGTTTTCATATACAGGGAATTTGCTTTGGTGTTCAGGTGCATAACAATGAACATATGAAGCGAGTCAGAAGGTAGAAATGTGAGGGGAAAGATACAGAATATGAAAGAGCAAGGAGTATGAGTAAAGAACAGAGCACCTTTGGCTACAGAAACAAAAGCTAAGCATACACATCAAAAGAAACATGTGTATACACTAAGCAGCTCAAGGTTTCTTTGGCGCCTTGATTCCTTACACATTTAGAGTGTCGTCTTGTTGGTGACCTGCCAGCAATGAGCCGTGAGTTCACCTTGCTGCCTCACAGGCCGTTCTTTCATCCTCAAAATAACTTATGGATCGTAACCAATGGCTGTGATAAGGCCACTAAAATGACAGTAATAACAACAGTTGGCAATTTTTCCTTTAATACCAAAAACCGAGTAGACGCAAGATTTTAGGACCATTTTAGCTAGATGCAGTGTTTCCATAGTTCACTAAGCATATTTCTAATTTATAGTCCTCACTACAATCACTGTTACATTATTTGGAATTCTATGCTACATGGTGCCTGAAAAAGGGACAAAATCTTTTGCAAATGACTGAGTTCATGAAAGCAATCAAATCTTTAACTATAGTTAATTACAAATTATTTTGTAAGAACACATCAAAGATATATTGACCTTTACTGAATTGTAAAGTTTCATGAAATTTGGAGACAGGAAATCTAATGTGTGGTTAATGGTGCAGAAGAGTTGCAACTAGTAGAGAAATACTCTAATAAAACAATTGTGTCTTGCTGAACACACCTTTAAGGGAATAGAGCATATGAACATATGAGACAAAGATGGTTCTTATTTAGAAAAAACAGCCACTCACATGCTTTATGACATAATTCTAAGCTTACCTTTAAAAAAATATGTAAACATCATTTCATGTTTTTCTCCGTAGGTCAGGGAAGTTTTTTTTACTGTCTGTGTAAGTTTGGCCCGAGCGGTTGTGGCTCAAACACTGAGACAAACCCAGTTATGCAGTCCAAGTGTATTTATTTTCTTTTGCAGTGGAACTTGTTTTCCCCATGCAGCAATATTTACAGTGCAGCCCGTTGGTTTTTTAAAGAAAATAAAGACAATATACAAAAAATATTAAAATAATACTGGTAACAAAACTACAAAAATAAATAAAAAGTTAACTTGGTTGAAACACAAAACTCAGCTCTGCCTTAGGCAATGTCCCTGTAATGGTTGGGCCTCTTTGCAGTCCATGCAGTTGACTATTCCCAGTCAGATCATCACACTTCTGTCTGAGGGACCTCCAGCCTCCGTTATACTGGCTGGGTCCTACCAAAACATCTTTAGATAAATAATAATCAATTGTCTCCAAGGGGAATTACACTTAGTACACATCACAATTTTAACATTCTGTATTATATAATAATACATTCCAAACCACTTGTGGTTCCATATTAGTTGTCTAAAAACTATTAAACAGCATTTTGCAATTGCCCTGCTCAACACCCCTCCAACTCCACCATACTTGGTGCCTTCCCCTTGGAACCCCCCGTTCATAATCGGATGGTAGCTTCCATCACGGGTTCGTCAGTTACGGGTCGAACAGCGGAGCACGCGCACAGCGGTGAGGAAGCAGGTGACAAACAATTCCACCGTTCAGACTTCGTAACGCTTTTAACCACAAATACAATGTTTAAGGTTTGCAATATTCGCTGTGTCTTAATTCTAACGTCTGCATACCTTTTCAAAAGTTGTCTACGCCGTGTACTTTAATATTTTATTCGTATTCATTCATTTGACTGTGTGTCAAGTTTAAACGTGTTTTTTAAGAGTAGGCTCTCCTTCCATTGACCTTCTAATGTTGTGTGTGTGTTCAGTGTTTGTATCCCCCCACTGCACGCTCACAAAATGAAAATGCTTTGAGCACAATGCATATTAATGTGTACACAGACAAGCACAGACTGTAAATAAACTGAACATGCAAATAATTTTGTTTTCCCCCATCAGTCAGCAACAACGTTTATCTTTCCAAAAACCCAATTACTAGATAATTATTATCCAAAGTGCTCTCTGGAAGTTTCTGTGTTGACGGACCACAGCAGTCAGCATGACAATTAATCTCTATTCACTTACAAGCGCTTGCATGCATATTGTTGTGTTGTCTCAACCAGCAGGCATCTCGCATGGTTTCTCCCAATATTCTTTTTATGCAGTGCAAGTGACAATTTCTGCACATTTAAGTATTTAGTTTTCTTACTCAACTGGAAATTTAGCTGAATTTTCTCACCAACAGTTGATTAAAATGTTCTTGAACGTGTGTGTGAGTTAACATGCAAGTGAGTGCTTGTGAAATGGATGCCATGCAAAATATTTGCAAAATCAGCAAGACGATGTGATTATTGCAGCAGTTTATAATATGTGCCCTGTCTTGCTCCAGTATAGATTTCACACGTGCACGCTCGCACCATCTTAAACCCTATGGTACAAGATGTCAACAGCTGCTAGCCAAGCACCAGGGCTAAACACATTTCAATTAGGCATCAGGGCAAAATGCTTTTTTTAAACTTTGTGTTAACATGTAGATAATTAAAGAAGTCATTTCTTGTCTCTTAAAATCCCAAGAATTCCAAGCAAAAGCAGATCAATGGGATAATGAATGAATAATTCAAAGGTCATGCATCATCGGCAGTCCTCAGTGGGCTTACAAGACAGAGCTTGCATACCTATGTACAGTGCAGAGGCAGAACAGAGCGTGAAGCACATAATGAGAATATCCAGACATGAGCTTGTGTCAGGTCATGGTCAGGGTGAATGAAACACACATAGCTGTTGTTGCTGACGTGGATGGAATGTTGAATGGAAAAAAACATTTTTTGTTGAAGTAATAGACTAGTTAAGAATTTGCAGAGATGAAAAGTTTTTTGTTCCAGCATGAACTGAAAACATGTCGCTAAACTGGAAGAAATGCAAAACAATCACTGTTGGATAAAGCTATTTATGGAGAGGCATTTGTTTGAGGCCGAGATGCAGCTTCAGGTCCAACATTTATTGGCATTGACTATTGTTCATCAACCTTATATCAGATGTATGATCTAAACCGTTCACTGCAAATTGAATGTTAGATGATTAACTGAGGCAGAAGTTGAAGTAGCTACCTGCTGAGTCTCTGCTCACTAAAGTCCCCATTTTTTGGCTGTTTCCTCACCCACACATTTCCAGTGTTGATACTTGATCCTCCTCTTTTTGCCTCTTGCAGCGAGCCGATGTGGGTCTCTCTGCCCTCACCATCACGCCTGAGCGAGAGAGTGTTCTGGACTTCACCACACGCTACATGGATTATTCTGTGGGTGTTCTGCTGCGCAAGGCCGAACGCACCGTGGACATGTTCGCCTGCCTGGCACCCTTCGACCTGTCACTGTGGGCGTGCATCGCGGGCACCGTGCTCCTCATTGGCATCCTGGTGTACCTGCTCAACTGGCTCAACCCACCCCGGCTACCCATGGGATCTGTGTCCTCGACTACACTGTACAACTCCATGTGGTTTGTGTACGGCTCCTTTGTACAACAAGGTAAGAGAACGGGATAGGGGGAGTGAAAAGCAGTAAGGGTTGATCAAAAGAGGAATGTCTGATGGGTGAATGTGGTGGTGTAGTGATTACTGAAAACTTCCCAAGAAAAACTCAAAAATTAAAGAAAATAAAAAAACTTGGATCAGACTCCTTGCCCAGATATTTGCCAATACTTTATGTATTCCTTCCCGACCCATGTCCCAAGCTTCACCTGAGTTTTGTGGAAATCTAATCTGTAGTTTTTGCATAATCTTGCTGACAAACAAACCAATAGACAGGGGTGAAAACATTATCTTCTCAGCTGAGGTTATACACAGCAGCAAATACTTTTGGAAATAAACAAAATGCTTTCCAGAGTGGGACACTTTTTATGCAATTAACCAACACTATGATCTTTCCCAATCCAATGTGTTGTGAAATGCTGGGTCTACAGAAAACGTTGCATAGGATCCAAGATGGGAACGTTAGTATTTGGTGTCTTAAAACCCCTATGACATTAGTACAGTCAAAGACTATAATCATAATTTTTACGAGTCATTACTTTCCATGTTTACTTGTAAACATAACTTCCCATGTGACCAACTAAATCTGGCTTGGTTACTAATGGGTTGATGCGTAAGTTGTAAATAGTTAGTGCTCTTCTAATGAAGCAAGTCGAGCTCTATAAATGTCTTGTTTCCTGATTTATTTGTGTATTTGTCTAGTTTATAATTCTTACCCCAGCTGGCAAATAGAAGGTGCACAGGAGTGTTGTTGTTTGATATTTGGCCGAAGGGATATGGGCTTTTACAACACCACTCTGTATTTGCAGAGTCCATCACAAAGGTAAAATACAGTGAGATGAGGGAAAATGTGATTGCTGAAGCAGTCTTCTGTCAAAGATTTCATAATCGCTGTCTTCTGGGTGTCATAAGTGTGGGTTGACCTTTCGTGTTCGAGCACAGTAGTCAAATGAGAACAAAAGGGAGGAGAGGTTTTGTTCCACATGGACTGAGTAGAGGATAATGACCTCATCCTTGTTATCTAGCAAAAGATTTTCCAGAATCCATCAGGCCGTGCGCAGGTGAAGAGATCAGACAGTTGACTCCTGGGGAAGGATTTAGATTTAAATTTAAATCAGTGCAGGAATGGAGCCACAGCAGGGAGCGGTAAGGGCAGTAGGACAAAAATAAGATCAGAAACATCTCGATCTTTACTGTGTCTTTTGAGTGAGGTTTCACACCCATATTGAGCATAGTATGAAATAGTCATATCAGCTCATTAGATGTTTGCAGTATAAAAAAATCAGCTCTCTTCCAAATGAGCACAGTTTGCTCTCTCTGTCATGCTCCAGGACTAGCAATAGTAAATTTTTTAAGCTGCATTAATTATACACAATTTAGTTTTTTTTGGTCTGCAACATTGTAGGCCCTGAATAAGCAACTGATGAGCATTCCACCGTTTGGTAAATAATCCTCCATCTTGTGCTGCAGCTAATGGCGGTAATGATGATGATGATACATTCTAATTGCTGTTTGATATTCACAATCGTTTCTCTTTTTAGCCTTAATTAACATTTTAGTCATGGCGTCATTAGAGAGAAAGAAAGAGCGAGAGAAAGGATCTTTGAGTGTGTGTGTGTGTGTGTGTGTGTGTGTGTGTGTGT